TTGACGTACGCACGTTGAGGTTACATAAACAATAGAAGCGTTTATTTTATAATAATACCTCTGTGAATAAACCTAAATAACCATGACCGCAAATACCGCATTGTGCCACAAGTAAAACAATATTAACATTGAACGAAATAATAGTGTTAGTTTGATTGGTTACCAGCATTTTTTGTATACGGGTGTCGTTAGAGACTGCCACCTTTTATGCAGAGTCAATATCGATGAAGAGATTAGAGAACAAGATACGGTAAAGATAGATATTATATTACCTGTAGAACTCACAATCGGTGGGACAAACAAACTTTAGAGTGGTGACCGCGGTAGTGTGGGACTCCCTCAGATTAGATAGGAAAACAAACTTCCCAAGGTACCTGGCAGCAGAAACAGGATGAGAGTAGTCGAAGAGCGTGCTCGATGGCGTGCGCTTGAAGAGCCTAATCTTGGAAGTGGACGAATATAGGCTGTAGGACATGCTATAAGCTATAAGAATGGAAGTATAAAATTAATAATACATATACGATGTGAATTAAAACAGCCTATGTTTAATGATACATGCTTACATATTTCATGTAGATTTTTGATAATAACCTTAATAGCAAACATATACCTATATTCAATAAGAAATAGAGTGCTCACCGTATTTGCGTCAATTCTGACGTCGAACGTTGTTATGAAAAAAAAAAGATCTCCGCTTTGTGTACTGTAGGATGCATACCCATAATACTCAATATACTGAAATATCAAGCTTTAGAAGTTTATGTATTTGTCACGTCTCATACACTCAGTTGCACAAAAGTTCATCGACTTTAGGTTCTAAATAAGACTATCGGTAATGTCGGTTTAACGAATGCCAGTTTTGATGGATTTTTGTGCAACTGGGGTTTGACTATTATTGAAGGACGTGTTGTAGACATTAATGATACGAAAGTTGAGTAATTCAATTATTTTTCAAAGTACTTGCAGTGTTTGATAAAGTTCAGTTTGAACTAAATATCAATACTATCTTATAGTTAGTAGTTCTTCAGCTCTTTCGTTAAGTAATAATGGAACAGCTGATGTAAGGGTGACGAGTTGGGATTTTATAACTTTTAGGCGAACGCGAGACGTCGTATTGATGTTATCGGGAGCTATGTTCCATTTCGAGCTCCTAGGGCTACCAACAGTCAAAGATTATATAATATTGAAGGATCGAAATAATTTTCTGATGATTTTACTTTGTTTTGGTTTTAAATGCTCGGTCTTAGTTTAAAAAAATTACAGGCATTAAACATTTTTTCTTGGATACAAACATTGTTTAAGTTTACATCTGCTGTCATGTTTAAAAAATATTCACAGATGTTTAAAATATATTCAATTGCTAATATTTAAAAAAAATATTCAATATGGCAGATGTTAACAAAAAATATATATAATAAATTCAATTAATTGCAATATGGATATAGCTCTAAATGAGTGTATATAACTAATCTCCAAAATAAAAATAAAAAATATGTCTGCCAAAATCGAACTTAAAATAAACGAAACAAGTTGTATTATATAAGTAAGTTGTAGGTTGTATTATGTAGGTTATAAGTAAGTTGTAGGTTGTATTGTAAGTTGTATTATGATATTATGTTATGGCATAACAAAATTCCAATCGTAGTAGTCATATTTAAAAAAATATCCAGTGTCATACGAGATGAAGTAACATTACTAATGATTCATATTCATTAAGTTTATCAAAAGTTATGGTGGAGTAACGAAACTCACATACATATATACATTAATCCTAAACACAGTTCACACCGTTTTTAGGCAGTCGTGTAAAAAAAAAATTGGCTACCCTAGTTTGGAGGGTCGATCGGGAGTCAAGGGCGATGGGACGAGGCGGCAATAATAAACAACGATATATTTCTTTGCCGTTATTTCTGAACAAATCGTATAACATTAAATCCTCTTTTCGACTTATTTTTACTTGTTTTACGTATACACTATGAATATTTGCAATTCCCAAACTATCTCCATCTGCTCTTTGAATGCTAGTAATAAAAGAGTCTGAATAGCTGATAAACTCGTGGGACAGAAGAGTAATAACTCCTATTTGAAAGGGGGTTACATTGCCTTTTAATAAGTATTAAACGAACTGCAGTATATCGATAAAAGTAGGTCATTAACCTCTGGGTTGAGTAAGGATGTTAAAGATAACAAATAGCAATGTGTTTATACACATGTTTTTTCTTCTTTATCCCCAATAAATAACATACTAATAATATACTATAGGTTATAAAAAGAAAGGAAAAAACATAACTTACAGTAAGAGTACAATGTTATAATTAATGCCTAAGGCTATACCTATAGTGGGCAAATAGAAATTTATACTGCTGTTGGTAGTAGATACCGTCTATGCCATCTTCACGGCGGTGGTAGGTTCATACTCCAGTCAAGTAACCATGTAAATACAATTTCATTGTGTTCTATACTAATATTATAAAGAGATTTTTACTTCATTTGCTTTGTAATAGATTCCGAAAATACTGGACCGATTTTAAAAATTCTTTTACGTACGGGAAGTTCGATCATCTTTGCTATTATTATAACTAGGGAAAATTTGATTTTTTGCACTGAATAGGTTCCGAAACTACAGTACACTTTTTGGAAATGCTTTCAACTACAGCTGCATCATACGCGGGTGCCATTCGCGGGAAAACAGCTTGATGGTAATAATTTACGCGAGCAAAAACGCGGGAAATAATCTAGTGTATTATATACAAATTTTTACAACATTTATATTAGATTTGAATTCTAATATAAGTTGTAAATATCTATAATACTACCCGTGAGTTACGGCGACGAAGTAAAAGAAGAAATAATATTTATTGCCATGAAAAATAAGTTACATTTATCATGAGTAATATGAATAAGTTTCGAACGACGTAAACACCCGTACTTATTGCGAAAGTTACGTAAAGTGGTCTCAGTGTTGTTTAATAAATCACTTAGTAATGAAATACTTCTATAAGGGTCGGCGCAGAGCTGACGGGACTCCGTCAAGCGTCTCACGGGTCTTCCATCGTGTATGTAGGCCATCATCTCTAGCCTATTAATATATCCCCACTGTTGGGGCTCAGGCCTTGCCTATGGATGGAATCGAATAGGGATACTGGACCATGACCGACCACGCGGGCCATAAATATAAGGGAAGCGAAACTATTGGAGCTAATTTATTATTATTTCTGATGCCAGGATTTGTCGATCGTGTTGACGGGCGTAGGTAGAAGGTATATCAAATCTTTGTGAATTCGCAACGCACTCCATAATATTTTTTTTAACAACATGTTGTTCATCATAACGCACCGAGACTCGGAACAAAAGTGTTCATGAATGTTTGTCCCCAGTGGGGATCGTAGACATGGCTACTTGGCATGGATACTTAGTGCTTCATTGTTAATTATCATGGTTCATATTAACAAATTGTCGTTTCCGAGTAATATTTGTCATTAAAAAAATGAAAAATATTACTTATCTCAAAAGCTACTTATTCAAGAAGATGCAATTGAAGTCGAGCGGGCGAAGGACGAGACTTATTATTTAAATGATAGGCGCCCGCACTCAGTAGCATTTTCTTGAATGAGTACATTTTGACACACGTATTATTAATCATTTTTTAAGTTTGAAGTCGGTTCTATTTTTTAACGTTTTTTTTTCATGCCTTTTAGTGATATATATATATATATAAGATATATATACACTAAGAACACTAAGAAATAAAAATATTTAACATAGTGAAATCCTTTTCTTAGAAAAGAAGATTTTGTGAAGTATTTATATTAAGTGAAAAGCGTATTTTGTTTTGTTATAAAAGAAAAACTACTGATTCGATTTTAAAATGGAACGACCTCGGTCCATTAAGCTGTCGAATAAAGAATCGAAGTTTTAAAATCTGTCAACAATAGGCGCAAATAACGGTGAAAACACATAAAAAAAGTACATCGCCATCTAGCGTCCTTCTTTTGTATTTTGAAGTCGGTTAAAAAGACTTACGTTAAACATAAGATAATTTGAAACATAAATATCAATACAGCCTTTTGTTTTTGGTTTTATGACCAATATCTTAAAAAACATGCCGCAATATTTTGACACATGAAAAATTACGTCCCAAACTACGCTTACAGCTATTTGAAAAAATATGAAATTTGACATTCATCCTTTTGAACTGACAGCGACGAAATACTAAGTTTACTTATTCTATGTTTACTGACACTTCTTCAATAAGTCTAACACTAACGGAAACAAAAATTTGTTCATATTTTTGATCCATATCGATTTCATAATATAAACAGTTAGTTCTTGTTTAAGCTATTTAACATTTTCTAGGACTGCTATCTTATCATTGCACCCTACGATGAGTTCTTTTTTGGTTGTTAGTTTCCTGAGAGAGTATTCTGGAGGGTTCACCATTAAAGTAATATTCCATAGTCATATAGCTGAAACTTTTGACTAGTCTTTAGTTGCACCATATGATCCATAACTTTCCTGACAATGTTTTCAGGCAGCAGCTCAGGAGGATTGGCAGGAGGATTCAAATTCAGGCGGCAGCTCAGGAGTATTGGCGCTACATATTGGAAAACAAACTGATTTATACAATATTTAGCGCCAGCTTTTGTGCTGGAGCAAATGGCACGTGCTGTTGTTGTCATAACAGACTTTCTCCGAACATTTGATCATTGCCAGTTGCTTTAAGAAAAGTATTTAGCGGTGTCCATGTTAGTATATCTGGTATTGTAGAATGGGCTAGATAAGCTACGGGGGCTAATGCAATAAGAGCTTTTACCTTAGCATTGTATTCAGGACTTATACGATAGATATCAACACATACCAAATATGATTACCTTGGGAAAAACCAATGAGTGTCAGCTGGGCCTGATTAATTTTGTTCAATACAAAATCAATGCTAGCAGACAAATCGTATATTCCAATTTCATGAAAACTAAAATCCCAAAAAACCGGATCCTTAGCATTTAAATATAGATTTTTTGTGCTGTATTCTTTGCTCTTAAATTCATAAACCAAAGATCATATCCATCTCTAGCCAAAGCGACTGATGTGTTACCTCTCATGATAAACATATCTGCTGAGTTATCAAGACCATGAGTAAGTAATAAAGGTTTTGATCTATCTCCCCGGATATGAAATAATTGTAGGATGTAATTGTCTTCAGTTATTAAATCAAACTGTTCTGTTTTCAACCCATATTTCGTCGCATGTCCAGTAAAGTTCAGACTGCCGTCTTCGGGGAGTCGGGAATTAATTTCTTCAATTAAATCAGCTCTGACTATGTATAGACAACATAACACTAACATTTTTAAATTTCAAATGAACGTAGGCACTGTTTCTTTCAAGGGCGCAGGACCGATCGCTTTGGAGATCTTTGGGGGAGGCCTATGCCCAGCAGTGGGCGTCTCTCGGCTGAAATGATGATGATGATGATGACTGTCTCTTTATCACATTGACAGCATCTATCTGTATTTTATATGAATAGTTTTGCAAACATAGTTAAACAACCGTGACATAGCAAATTAATTCAGCAGGTCATTCGAATATTTATCTTAAAAATACGTATGAATATAAAAAAAAAACTAGTTAAATGAGGGATTTTTTTATTTATTATAAAACGATATGAATTGGGATTTTATTTCAAAATAACATTTTTTTTGTCTGTGACTTGGAGCGGAAATGACCTACTGATAATTTGTACCACTCTGCACTACTCAATAGTATGAGTTATTTAGTAATGTTGGGGTTGTGTCCTCATAATAGTCATAGAATTTATGTTATGTAGCGTGTTCGAAATTTGAAGTTTTTTTGCTTTTAAGATATAGAGTTTACTCTCGCAGTATTCACTGTTAATTACAAACATCAGATTAAAATTGATTGGTCTTCTACACTCAGCCTTTATTTATTTACTCTTTATTTATCTTTCCGCCAGCAGCTTTGCCCGCGTGGTCTTGTATTATACATAACAATTTTCCTTTTGAATCACACTATCTATTAAAAAAACCGGATCAAAATCCGTTGCGTAGTTTTTAAAGATTTAACCATACATAGGGCTGTCCCGTGGCTGTAGGCCTGACATTTCTGTAAAAAGCGACTTGCTTTTTACTACACTATTTATTTATAAGGATTTAACACAGTTCGCAACCAAATTAAAATAAAAAGCTAATCTCTGTGGCCTTATCAGGATACTTGTATAACGTTTATATTTTATTATAATACTATATTTATTACTTTTTTTTAATACCGTTTATAATAAACAGAGAAATAAAATATATTAAATTAATGACGTTAAATAGTTGAAGTGATGTGGAGAGTGTCGTTTTTTTTCTATTATAATAATAGAGTATGAATAATTTAATTCTCAAAAATTACAACGGCGTAATAAATTCATTCTTTTTACAATATACCCTTTTTAGGAACATAAAAACAAAAACGTTCATTCGAATTTGGAATTTGGGTTTTATTAACTAACTAGCTGTGCCCGCAACTTCGTCTGCGTGGGAAGTATTTTGGTAGAATTCTTTTATTCCTATGAATGGAGTCGAATCGAATAAGATCAATGGGCCATAACCCACTGTGCTTAATGCGGATCAGTGGGTGTTCACGTCGCTGATGCAGCCAGGACTAACAGCTTAACGTGTATTGTGCCAGTACTGTGCACAGTGCTCAAGATAATAATGTTTTGGTCACCCATCCTGTCCTTACGAATCTAATTTTTCTATCTTTTTTCTCGTTTCTCGCGCTCTGGTTGTCGCCTGTGTCTGAGAATTTTATTCGTACCTTGAAACTGTCCTTCTTTTGTTTTTGATATTTTAAAATTATTATTATTAATCTAGTTGAATGCACAATTGGCTATTTATTGTTCTATTTTCCATGTAATGCTAGGTTGCCTGGAAGAAATCGCTTGCTAGCGATGAGTTTGTACTTTGTTATGTAAAATAAGTTTTCAAGTATGTCCTTGTTTATTTCACTGCAATTTAAACCGAATGCGCTAACCCACTACGCCATCGGACCTCTTATACCTAAGATATACTTATATTTGGTTGTTTGTTTGTTTGCATCGAATTTGCCCCAAAACTACTGGACCGATAGTTTCAGAGAGATTCTACCTACGGGAAGCTACATCACGGATGTCATGGGCTATAATTTTGCGGCAAAGTTGCGGGAAAACAGCTAGTTCATTATACCTTGTGAAAACTTATCTGCGGTACGCTTGTGGAGTATGAAGACAACACGGGTTGGCGATAATCGAAACTACTTTCTCGATCTCTATTGCACAAACTGCGAGCTCTTTCAGAGACCAAGCGCATTTCTCTATCAAAGGAAGTTTCATACCCATACCATACTGCATGTATGTTACGGTTAGCAGTTAGACGCGCTATGCGATCTTCAGAAGTTTCCTGAGATCATACGCTTGTTGTATGAGTTCTCCGAGAGCTCAAGAGAATGTCCCTGACGGTCGCCGAGAGGTGCTTAACTGAGAAGGTCGCCGAGAGGTGCTTAACTGAGCTTCCGTCAGATTTGAACGGCCCTCATCATCATCATCAGCCCTTTTACGTCACCAACTGCAGGAGCCTTTTGGATTAATGAGGATGGGCCACGACCTTCCATGATGGCCCAATGCGAATTGGAGGATATCAACGAATGCAAATACAACCAGGACCAATCGCTTTACGTGCCTTACAAAGCTTGGAGTTGCTTGAGATAATATTTTTTTGTCACCCTTCCTGTGACCGACCTTTGTGAAAGTTGCTTAACAACTACAATCGCGAGCCATGGCGTTTATTCACTACACCACCAAGCTACTCTGAACCAATCCTCAGACTCGCGTAATATTATATGTGTTGTGACAAATGAATAAACCATTGTTTCCGGCGAAGACTGAAAATACTAACTTCGAAGTACGTATCTACAGCATATTTGTATGTTAAAAAAAAAAACAAAAGTAGTATTATTATTACATAAAAAATTGTAATAAGACAAAAAATTTATATATCAATCGAGTTCTCTTTACCAACTTAACTTCAGTTGACGTGAATCTAACTTTTTTAACGTCGTGGAAAAGCTTCTGACGTTGTCTCCGCTACGTGGCAAGCAATAGGGGGTGAGTAGGATTCTCCTCCGTGAACCCGATAGTGAACTGCCCTCGGTGGCGTAGCGCATAAGCGCCGTGGCCCGCGATCGTTGTCGTTAAGCAACTTTCGCAAGGGCCGGTCACGGGATGGATGACCAAAAAATTATTATCTCGAGCTACTCCGTGCTTCGGAAGTCACGTTAAGCCGTTGATCCCGGCTGCATTTGCAGTCGTTAATACCCTCCAATCCGCATTGGGCCAGCGTGGAGGGTCATGGCCCATCCTCCTTAACCATCCATAAGGAAGGCCTGAGGCCCTGCAGTGGGGACGTAAAAGGGCTGATGATGATGATGATGGCTCCGTCTCATGGGAGATGAAACCCGGCAAGCTATGGCCGCGTCACCAGAACACTCAAGTATTGGACTTGACATTGGTCCCCTTGTAGATGGAATATTGGATAGGCTCGGGTAAATCGAGTGCCTCTCTCAGACAGACGAAACCATGAAATGCGGGGGCTGCCAACCACCTCCGCTAGCCCCGACGACGACGTGAACCTAATCTGATAAAAATATGCGTTCACTGTAAATTACTCGATGCTTAATTGCATCATCGGAAGGCTCTTTTCGCTTGTTCTCCTACTCGCGTGATCGTATACCACACGTCCATTATAACCTGAACCCTATTTAATATCATTGGCCATTTATAAATGAGGTCAACTTACTTTGGAAATGACAAAATTTTGGATTTTTTATTTTTATTTTTAATCACACTATCATTATATCATTTTATAGACAATATTAATTCGTAGCTGGGTGGCGCTACGGATAAGCGCCACTGCGCACGATCGATATTGCTAAGCAATTTTCGCAAGAGTTGTTCACGGGATGGGTGACCAAAAATTATTAAACAAAAGCCTGAGGCCCTGCAGTTTGACTGTCAAAGAGTTAAAGATGATGATCAATATATCAAAGACGAAAATTTAATAATACAGCTAATATTTCATAGCAATTTTGGCGACCACATCACTTCAAATTGACATAACTTTTTTATTTGTGAACCGATTGAAATAAATCTCACACTAAATGTTAACGGAAGAATACCGCAATATAATAGTGAAAACTGCATTTCGATCGGTTCAGCCGTTTCTGAGATTATCGTGCACAAACGCACAGACAAACAGACAAACCGACAAACAGACAAACAGACAAACAGACAAAAAATTTAATAATCATTGTTTTGTGTTCTATTACGCTTATAAATGTCCCTCATAACAGTTTTTTTCATATATCTTCAATGTACAGACATCGATCGGTTACGTTTTTATTATAGTATAGATTAGCCAACAATCATAGAGTTGTTTTATAGTAGAGTACGAAAGTTATGTATGTAACATGGCCACCTATACGTAAAAATGTAACGAAGACGACGACGACGACGAGGAGAAAAGTATGCAGTAAACCATCAGTTTGCCCAGACATAGCTTTCAATGCAGTAAGTTTTGAGAAATATAAAATGACATCAATTTAAATATTTCCAATATTGGAAGTTATTTTAATTAACTTTTAATAATATGTAATATTGTAATCTGTCAGATGTGGTATTATGTCTTCTCTCTTGTAATAATGGTGAACCGTCTCGACGCCTAGCTTACATCCGAACTCTAGTATAAAAGCTCATTGTTAACAATACACTAACTTACTTTATTAATTATCAAAGCTCAAAGTCTATTTGAAGACATTGTAACACAGATCACTGTATATCATGAATACTGTACATGATTTACTTATGAGGTCGATACAACTTATTTTAAATTGTGCTTCTTTAATAAGTCTAACACTAGCGGATACAAAAACTTCTTTCATGTATTTCCCCCAAACAAAATCAATATGATTCCATAGATCCACGTTGATTTCATGATATGAAGAATTAGGCAGCTGTTGTTTCAGTATTTGAATATCATCAACGACTGCTTGCTTATCATTGCGCCCTACGAGGAGCTCTACTTTAGCAGATATTTTCTTTACGGGATATTCTGGGGGTATCGCTGAACCATATTTGACGATATTAGTCACAGTTCCGTAGTCATATAACTGAAATCTCTTACTAGTCTTAACTTGCACCATATGATCAAGAACTTTCCTAACGAAATTTGATGGAGTGTGTCCATCAAGATTGGCACAAATTCAGACTCCAGGCCAGGAGGGTCCGCGCCACATATTGGAAAAATAGCGA